ACTAAAAAAAATTTTTTTAAGTTTAACCCCATTAATAAAATGGAATTAGAATATTACTGGGGTGCCTGAGTGGCTCAGTCAGTTAAATGTCTGACTTTTGGGACACCTGGGTGGCTGGGCGATTGAGCATCTGCCTTTGACTCAGGGCGTGATCCTGGAGTCCCCGGATCAAGTCCCACATCGGGCTCCCTACAAGGAGCCTGCTTCTTCCTCTCCCCATGTTTCTGCCTCTCTGTGTCTCTCATGAATGGATGAATGAAAATCTTGGAAAAAAACAAAAAAGTCTGACTCAATCTCAGTTCAGGTCTTGATCTCAGGATCCTGAGTTCAAGCCCATTAGGCTCCACGCCCATTCTTTTTCTTTTTTACTCTTATGTCAAAAATAATTAAGTTGCCTAATAGATAAAAAATAATTTTTAAAATAAGAATAGCCATTGTTGGCAAGGCTATAGTGAAATAGGAATTCTCAAACATTGTAATGACAATAAACTAGTATAATCTTTCTAGAAAGCAAAGTGACACTATGTATCAAGAAGCCTTAAATTACAGCTGACCTCTGAACAATGGTGAAGGAGGTATTAAGAGCACCGATCATCCATAGAATCAAAAATCCACTGACAGTTTTTAACTTAACTACTAATAGCCTATTGTTGACTGGAAGCTAGAATATAAAGTCAATTAACACAAATTTTATAAATGTATTAAGATACTGTTCTGTTACAATAAAGTAAGCTAGAGAAAAGAAATGTTAAGAAAAATATAAAGAGGAGAAAATACATTTACAGTATTGTAAGAAATCTGTATGTGAGGGGCATCTGGGTGGTTCAGTGGTTGAGTGTCTGCCTTCGTCTCAAGTCACAATCCCAAGATCTTGGGATTGAGTCCGACATCAGGCTTCCCATAGGGAGTCTGCTTCTCCCTCCGCCTGTGTCTCTGCCTCTTTTTCTGTGTCTCTCATGAATAAATAAATAGAATCGAAAGAAAGAAAGAAAGAAAGAAAGAAAGAAAGAAAGAAAGAAAGAAAGAAAGAAAGAAAGAAAGAAAGAAAGAAAGGAAAAAGAAAAAGAAAAAGAAAAAGAAAAAGAAAAAGAAAAAGAAAAAGAAAAGAAGGAAGGAAGGAATCTGCATGTGAGTGGATCTCAGGTAGTTTAAACCTGTGTTGTTCAAGGGTCAACTGTACTTATATACTTTCATCCAACAATTCCACTTTTAGGAATTTATCATAAAAAATAATCAAATTTACATATATAAATAAATATTTATATAGAGATGTTCAAAATATAGTAATTTTTTACAAAGAAAAATTTAAAAATAAGTAGAAAGAAAGGAATGATAAAATAATTTCTGATCATAGTAAGTATAATTTATTAAATACTTAACATATGCCAGCTAGAATGTTAAGATCAAGTAAGTAATATTATACCTATTTTGCAAATAAGAAAACTAAAGACCAGAAAAGGGAAGTATCAAACTTAAAGCTCTTGGGACACCTGGGTGGCTCAGCAGTTAAGTGTCTGCCTTCAGCCCAGGGCGTGATCCTGGAGACCTGGCATCAAGTCCCGCCATCAGGCTTCCTGCATGGAGCCTGCTTCTCCCTCAGCTTCTGCCTATGTCTCTGCCTCTCTCTCTCTGTGTCTCTCATGAATAAATAAATAAAATCTTTAAAAAAAAAAAAACTTAAAGGTCTTAAGTAGCAAAACTGGGATTGAACTCAGATTTGTTAGACTCTGCTAAACAAAATATCCCTTTAGATTCCTAAGATGGAATTTTATAGTCATTAATTAAAGACTGTATCTTGAATATTTGAGGTTTTTTTTTTTTAAGACAATGTTAGAAAATAAAGCAAGACACAACACTCCATATAATTTATACAGACACCCAAATGGGATTAGGTTAGATTAACTGTAATATTAGACTGGAAAAGAAATCTCTGGGTAGTGGGATTACAGGTAACTTTATTTTTAACATACTACTGTTTTTATATACTACTTTTGTATTTTCCAAATAACCTCTAATATAAAGATGCTTTAACAATCAGGGGAAAAAAAATAACAATCACTATTATCAAAGCTGAATCTTAGACTTCCTCTATACTTCCTCCAGATGGCAAACCATAAATCCCTTCTGTTTTCCATTGTGTCTATTTATATGGAAAAATATCTAAACATGTAGGCGGCCTAAGTGTCCAACCAATATTTAGTATAGTGAAGAATTTCTATAAAACATACTACCACTCAAGTACCAGTTTTACTTTATATATCCAGATTATTTCAATTCCATTTACTCACTTGAGTAACGTTCAGTTATTGTATCAACTGAACTTATGCATCTTCCTTTTTCAATAAAGAGAGCCTTATTAATATACTAGTTTAAACAAGATTATGTAGCTTCTTCATATACATACCTGACCTAGAGAGAGTGTATTCTAAAAGGATATAGGAAATAAGGATGGGTAAGTAAGGTTTGATATATTATGGAGAAATGTGAAAGAACTGGCTCAAATGAAGAACCTAAAAGCAAATAATATAAATTTTTGTTAATAATGAGACCATGAATATATAAATTTCATATACACATTTTCCAAGCTCTTCTACCTTTATTATTTAATTTTACCTGACAGAGAACCTAACCAATACATGCTTGCTCATTGACTATCATCAAAATATTCTAGCATGGTTAGCAGAAGTCTTATCAATTCCATGTTTTGTTTTGATTTTAACAGATAAAGATAGATGTTCTTTTAAATCTTAAAAAAAAAAATCCAGGTTACATGAAATTTATAAAAGTAACAAAGTGAACACGAACTCTAACAATGGTATGGCAGTGGTCAGTACTGCCATTAATGTAAATATACCAATAACCACTTCAAAAAAAAGACACCTTCCTATTGAAAGCTATATCATCAACACAATATTAACACTAAAAAAATTTCCCATGTCATTTTATAAATAACTCTGCTATATTTATATAAGGACTACTAATTTTAGATAACTTACCTTTATAGAAAAATATCAGAAAATAATACATTTCTATAACAGTCAAGAAAGATATTCTATTTAATACACAATATCAACTATCTAGAAAAAATAAGCCTAGGAAAATCAACACTAACAATCAAATTTATTAGTAATACTTTAGTTCCAAAAAAAAGAAAAGTAGTACTTTAGTTCCTTAAAACCAGGAAAAGAGAAAGAAAAATAAAAAATATCTCTCTAGGGGATCCCTGAGTGGCTCAGTGGTTTAGCGCCTGCCTTTGGCCCAGGGCGCGATCCTGGAGTCCCGTGATCGAGTCCCTCGTCGGGTTCCTGGCATGGAGCCTGCTTCTCCCTCCTCCTGTGTCTCTGCCTCTCTATCTCTATGTCTATCATAAATAATAAATAAATATTTTTTTAAAAAATATCTCTCTAGAAGGAACATATAACTTGAAATCATAGGAATGAACCATGGCATTATCCCAAACAAGATCAAGAAAATCTCTTTCAGGGGCACTTGGATGGCTCAGTGGGTTAAGCGTTTGCCTTCAACTCAGGTCATGATCCCCAGGGTCCAGGGATCGACCTTAACATAGGGCTCTCCCCTACTGCTCCCTCTTCCTCTGCCCTCCCCACTTGTGCACTCTCTTGCTCGCTCTCACTCTCTCAAATAAATCTTAAATCTCTTTCAGAAGCAAATGCTACCAAAACCAATCAATCCATCTTTACTGGGGATTAAATTACCTACAAAATGATTTTAAGGATACCACTGTGATAAGGATAAAATAAATACTAAATCACATCAAGATACCAAAGGGTGTGTCACTAAAAAAGACAGTATTTATAGAAAATATAATCAAATTAAGGTAACCAATAATCTTAAAATGTAGCTATGTGGCATAAGAACTATTATAATTAATCACTGAACATCCTAAATATCAATAGGTAACACTATAGCTAAATAAATTATAGTAAAAAAAATCACCCTTTAGGATACTAGGCAGCTATTAAAAAGTTTAAGATAGAATGAAGAAACCAGATGTGTGGAGAAACCAGAAAGATCTCTGAGACATATTCTTAAGGGAAAAAGCTAGTTGTGGGGCAGCCCCGGTGGCGCAGCAGTTTAGCGCCGCCTGCAGCCCAGGGCGTGATCCTGGAGACCCGGAATCGAGTCCCACGTCAGGCTCTCTGCATGGAGCCTGCTTCTCCCTCTGCCTGTGTCTCTGCCTCTTTCTCTCTCTCTCTCTCTCTCTCTCTCTGCATCTCTATGAATAAATAAATAAAATCTTAAAAAAAAAAAAGCTAGTTGTGAAACAATAAACAACTTTTGGCCAAAGAATCCAGGAAGGTGTAATTCTCTGAATTCTTCAACACTTCTTATCATCCTTCGTTACTTACTGCCAGAAGTAGTCTTGCTTCATTATTTTAGAGCCTCACATTGTTGCTTTTACCAACATATTTTCTTCTATATGTGTTGATTTCCCCATTAGCCATATTCCTTAATAACACAAATTATGATATATACTCCAATCTGGCAGTTGGCCGTAGTCCCACACATAAAATAGGTGCACAAATATTTACAGATGGTGAATATGTAAAATATGAAGAAGCATTTTAGAAGCAGAGAAACTAAAGCAAACATTAAAGGAGAAAACCAGGACTATAATGCACTTGTTTTACGCAATCACAAGCTCTTTGAGAAATTCTAGTAACATGGGGGATCCCTGGGTGGCTCAGCGGTTTAGTGCCTGCCTTCGGCCCAGGGTGTGATCCTGAAGTCCCGGGATAGAGTCCCACATCAGGCTTCCTGCATAAAGCCTGCTTCTCCCTCTGCCTGTGTCTCTGCCTCTCTTTCTCTGTGTCTTTCATAAATAAATATATAAAATCTTAAAAAAAAAAAAAAAAAAGAAATTTTAGTAACAAAATTTGTGACTACAGTTTCCAAGAGATTTTTTTAATCACTCAAATAAAAATGCTTGAAAACCTATGTGTAAAATATTCATACTCTGTGACTTTAACAATACTTACCATCTGTCTGGCATTGATGCTACTAACGTGCTTGCTTATTAAGGCCACAGTTGATATCTGCAAACTCTATAGCTCTTCCTGTTATCCAACATGTCTTCTTTACTGCCAAAATAAATAAAATATTTTATGCATATACTAAAGGGAAATTTAAATTTATGTCAAACTATAATCCTAAATGAAATCAGAGTTCAAAACATGTAATACGTATAAATACATATAATATTCCACAGAGAAAGCCACAAAAGCAAAAAGAAAAAAAAAAGATCAACCTCATTTGCCACCACTGGAGGTAACTATTACACTATGGAAAATGGTTATATTGGGGATCACTGGGTGGCGCAGCGGTTTGGCGCCTGCCTTTGGCCCAGGGCGCGATCCTGGAGACCCGGGATCGAATCCCACATCGGGCTCCCGGTGCATGGAGCCTGCTTCTCCCTCTGCCTATGTCTCTGCCTCTCTCTCTTTCTCTCTCTGTGACTATCATAAATAAATAAAAATTTAAAAAAATAAAAAAAAAAAAAAAGGAAAATGGTTATATTAAAAGAAAAAACTAAGCATTTATTCTTCAGGTAAAACATTATTTCAAGGTAACAAAGTAGCCCTAACTAATGAGGGAAACTTCTTCATGGAAGATGACTATGCAAAAGGAATGTAAAAGGAACAATAGAATGTTAATATTTATAACAAGTAACTGAACAAGAATCAGCAATCAATGAAGGCTAAAATCACCATTAGGTTTAAGGTTGATAGAGATTACCTGGTGCCAAAGTGCCACCGCAGAGGACTTACTAGGTGCAAAAAGATAACTTTTTAAGATTTTTTTTTTTTAATAAGAGACACAGAGAGAGAGGCAGAGACACAGGCAAAGGGAGAAGCAGGCTCCCTGAGATGAGCCCAATGTGGGACTTGATCCCAGGACCCCAGGATGACGCCCTGAGCTGAAGCAATGCTCAACCACTGAACCACCCAGGCGACCCACAAAAAATACCTTTACAATAAAATAATCTGGTAATGATCAAACAGAGCATCAGAATGATGAGAAAACTAAATATTATGTGTTCTTAATATGAAACAACATGCATACACAGCATAACTAAATAAAGTACTCTTCCAAAAATCTTTAACCTGAATCTGAAACACCTTTAGATCTAACTCCCAATTAAATTTTTTTTTGGAAAAAAAATGAATGAATGAATGAATGAATGAATGAATAAATAAATTTTTTTTGGGGGGGAAGGGGCAGAGGGAGAGGGAGAGAGAATCCTAAGCAGGCTCCATGCTCAGCACAGAACCCAAGGAAGGGCTTGATCTCGTGACCCTGAGATCATGACCTGAGCCCAAGTCAAGAGTCTGAAACTTCGCTGACTAAGCCACTCAGGCACCCCCTAACACCCAGTTTATAGAAAATATAGGGAATAGAGTAACAAGTTATACTATATCATGAGTAAATAAAAAACGTCCAACATTCTCAACAGAACTAACAAATCTGCATCATGGAGTAAGAGAGGGAGGGTGGTGAAAAGATAGATAAGAGGCAGTTTCATATTAAAAAAAAACTCAAAATATAACACAGTGCAATAGGTAGGTCTTGATTTGAACTGGTATGAATGAATGAATGAATAAATAAATAAATAAATAAATAAATAATAAATGGGGTGCCTCAGTGGCTCAGTCAGTTAAGCATCCAACTCTTGATTTTGGCTCAGGTCATGATCTCAGGGTCATAAGATCAAGCCCTGCATCAGGATGAATGCAGGCCATAGACCCTGCTTAGGACTCTTCCTATCCCCTCTCCCTTTGCCCCTTCCCTCCTAAAAAAGTAAATTAAAAAAAAAAAAAGTAAAACCTGTTTTGGGAACAAATGGAGAAATAGGACTATGGTATGAATATTATATTAGAGAATTATTGGTAATTTGGGTAGGAATAATAATGGTTTTATAGCTATATCAGAGAATATCCTTTTCCTGGAAGATATACACTAAAGATAATATGCCTTCTTATAATTTTTTTAAAAGAGCAAATTTCAAATTAAATCCTTAAATGAAATTTAGCAAAGCCCAAAATATACACTTATAATACTCAAAAAGGAAAAACCAAAAAATAAATTTCACTTTATTTTTAAGTGGCTCAGGAAATTTATATATACACATATGTAAAGTAAATGTGCCAAAATTATTAACAATTATTGAATCTAGGAGGTAAGTGTATATGAGTTCAATGAGTACTATTCTATTCTATATGCTTAAGAGTTTTGCCAAAGGTTTTAAAACGTACTATGCTTCAAGTAAACCAGTTTGTTTACAAAGTAAAAAAGCCTTTTTTAATCCAAATACCAACCCTTGGGGGAACCGGGTGGCTCAGTCTGTTAAGCACCTGCCTTCAGCTCAGGTCATGATCCCAGAGTCCTGGGATTAAGGTCTGAGTTGGCCTCCCTTCTCCCTCTGCTCCTCCTCGCTTCTCATGTGCGCGCTCTCTCTCTCTCTCATTTAAATAAATAAAACCTTTAAATAATATACCAACCCTTTATTTGGAATTTCTTTTTCTTTTTTAATTTTTATTTATTTATGATAGTCACACAGAGAGAGAGAGAGAGGCAGAGACACAGGCAGAGGGAGAAGCAGGCTCCATGCACCAGGAGCCCGATGTGGGATTCGATCCCCGGTCTCCAGGATCGCACCCTGGGCCAAAGGCAGGCGCCAAACTGCTGCGCCACCCAGGGATCCCCTATTTGTAATTTCTAAATCAAATATGACAAGTTTTCATAAAGCAGAGTAAAGATTATACCTGGTTATCTATCCGTATGTGTCCTGAGAAGAAAAATTCAATCACACTCTAAGAGAAGAAAGAAACTTAAAGAAGAAATCTTAAAGTATAAAACTGAAGGAGGGGCTCCTGGCTGGCTCAGCCAGGGGACCCTATGACTCTTGATCTCAGGGTTCTGAGTTTAAGCCTTATATTGGGTGTGGAACCTAGTTAGAAAATTAATTTTTTAAATGAAGAAAAGGACCCATGGGACACCTGGATGGCTCAGAGGTTGAGCGCCTGCCTTCAGCCCAGGGCGTGATCCTGAGTCCCAGGATCAAGTCCCACATCAGGCTCCCTGCATGAAGCCTGCTTCCCTCTCTGCCTATGTCTCTGCCTCTTTCTCTCTGTGTCTCTCATGAATAAATAAATAAAATCTTAGAAAGAAAGAAAGAAAGAAAGAAAGAAAGAAAGAAAGAAAGAAAGAAAGAAAGAAAGAAAAGGACCTTGAACAGACAAACAAGACAACCTTGAGAAATTAGAGCTAGAGGCTTCACACTTCTTGATTTCAAAACATATTAACAAAACTACAGTAATCAAAACAGTATGGCACTGGCATAAAGAAACAGAACAGCTGCACTAGAATATAGAGCCCAGAAATAAATCCTGACATATACAGTCACATAATCTTTCTTTCTTTCTTTTTCTTTCTTTCTTTGTTTCTTTCTTTATTTGAAAGCGAGAGACAGGGAAACAGAGAGCTAGCGAACAACAGCCAGGGAAGTGGCCAAAGGGGTGAGAGAGGAAAACAGAAAAAGTCCCAAGCAGACTCCACGCTGGGCATGGAGCCTGACACAGAACTCGATTTCGTGACCCTGAGATCATGACCTGAGCTAAAACCAAAAGTCAGTTGCTTAACCAACTGAGCCACCCAGGCACCCCTAGAGTCAAGTAATCTTTGACAAGGATGCCAAGGCTATACAATGCGGAGAGGATCGTTTTTTCAACAAATGGTTGCTTGGAAAATTGGATATTCACATGCAAAACAATGAACTTGGACCCTTACCTGACACCATATACAAAAATTAACTCAAAATGGGTTACAGACCTAAACATAAGACCTGAAACCATAAAACTCTAGAAGAAAACATGGGTGGGATGCCTGGGTGGCTCAGGGGTTGAGTGGCTGCCTTTGGCTAAGGGCATGATCCAGAGTCTGGAGATCGGAGTCCTGGGATTGAGTCTCACATTGGGCTCCTTGCATGGAGCCTGCTTCTCCCCCTCTGCTTCTGTCTCAGCCTCTCTCTCTCTCTCATGAATAAATAAAATCTTTAAAAACAAAAATCCATAATGAGATATCACCTCACATCTGTTAGGATAGTCACTAACAAAAAAAAAAAAAAGGCGGGGGGGGGGAGGTGTTGGTAATAATGGGAAGAAATGTAAACCCTTGTGTATTGTTAATGGTAATGTAAAATGTGCAGCTGCTGAGTAATATATAGACTGAATTACTATATTGTATACTTGAAACTAATTTAACACTGTTAACTATATTGGAATTAAAATTTTTTTAATAAAATTAAATAAATAAAATGTGTAGCTGCTATGGAAAACAATATAGGAGTTTCCTCAAAAATCAAAAATAGATTATGATCCACCAATCTCACTTTGGAGTATACATCAAAAAGAAATAAAAACAAGATCCCCACAAAATATTTGCACAATCACGTTCACCACAGCATCATTCATAATAGACAAGACTGGAAGCAACTAAAAATGTCCATGCAATGTAAATGTTCCCTAACAGAAAAATGGATAAAGAATACATGGTGTGCGATGCCTGGGTGGCTCAGTGGTTGGGCACTTGCCTTCCGGTCAGGTCGTGATACCAGGATCCAGGATCGGGTCCTGCACTGGGCTCCCTGCAAGGAGCCTGCTTCTCCCTCTGCCTATTTCTCTCTGTCTCTCTCTCTCTGTCTCTCTCATGAATAAATAAATAAATCTTAAAACAAAAAAAAAATGGTGTATATACAAACAAACATGATGGAATATTACGTAGCCTCAAAAAAGGAAATCCTTCATGGATAAGCTTTGAGGACATTATGCTAAGTGAAACAGGCCAGTCACAAAAATACAAATACTGTATGATTCCACTTATATAAAGTATCTAAAGTAATGAAACTCTTAGAAACAGCAAGTAGCATGATAGTTGCCATGGGCAGAAAAGGGAGAAAAGCAGAGTTGTTCAGTAGGAATAGTTTCAGTTCTACAGGAAAATGTTCTAGAGATCTATTGTAATAACAACGTACATACAGTTAACAGTACTGTACTGTTCATCTAAAAATGGTTAAGACAGTAAA